ATGGTAACTCGTGTTGCAGCTGTTGTACCAGATGTAGTGTCCTTATTTGAGTAAATAAATTAACACATCTCCAGGTATACAGTATGCAGCTATTGATTTAGTAAATACCTTTTTCTCAGTACCTGTCCATAAGGACCCACCAGAAGCAATTTGATTTCAGATGGCAAGGTCAGCAGTGTATCTTCACTGTTTTGCTTCAGGGATATTAACTCTCCTGTCCTGTGTCATAACTCAGAAGGAATCTTGATCGTCTTTCTTTCCCAGAAAATATGACACTGGTGCACTAAACTGATGACATTATGCTGGTTGGACCAACTCAGCAGGAGGTAGCAACTACTTTCAACTCATTGGTAACATATGTTTATCAGAGGATGCGAAATAATTACAACCAAAATTCAAGGGCTTTCTACTTCAGTGAAATTCTTAGGAATCCACTGGTATGGGGGCACGAAGAAATATTTCTTCTAAGGTGAAGGATAAGTTATGGTACTTGGCCCCTCCCATCTCCAAGAAAGAAGCACAATGTTTGGTGGGCCTTTTTAGACTCTAGAGACAACACATTCCTCACTTGGGTGTGTTACTCCAGCTAATATACCAAGTAACTCTGAAATCTGATAGCTTTGTGGCAGGGGAGGGGGTCTGGAACTGGAGAAGGCTTTTCATTAGGGTTCAGGCTGCTGTGCATGCTGTTATACCACTTGGAACATATGATCCAGCCAACCCTGTGGTGCTTGAGGTGTCAGTGGCAGACTGGGATGTTGCTTGTAGCCTTTGGCAGGACCTATAGGTGAATCACGGAAGAGATCTTTGGGGTTTGGAGCAAGGCTCTAACATCACCCACAGACAATTATTCTCCCATCAAAAGACACCTCTTCCTGCTATTGGGCCTTAGTAGACACTACATATTTGACAATGCGCCACCAAGTTACCATAAGATTTGAGCTAACCATCATGAGCTGGGTGTTATCAGACCCACTGTGTCATTAAGTAGGATTGCACTCCAGTAATATGTCAAATGGAAGTGGTATAAAAGAGATCAGGCCGAGCAGGTCTTGAAGGCATAAACAAGCTACATGAAGAAGTTGCCCAAATGCCTATAGTTTCTACTCATGTTAATAATACCATCTGCCGCCAAGTATTCCCCTATAACCTCATGGGGTGTGCTCTATGATCAGCTAACTGAAGAACAGAAGACTAGGTCCTGGTTTGCTGACAGTTCTTCATGTTATACAGCCACCACACAGAAGTGGATAGCTTCAGCATTACAAACCATTTGTGGGACAATCGTGAAAGTTACTGGTGAAGGAAAATCTTCATGGTGGGCAGAACTTCAGGCAGTACACAGGGTCATGCAGTTTGTTTGGAAGGAGAGATGGCCAGATGTACAGTTGTTCATGGGTTGTAATCAGTGGCTGGATGGTTAGGAACTTAGAAAGAACATGATTGGAAAATTGGTGGGAAAGTCATCTGGGGAAGAAGTGTGTGGAAAGATCTCTACAAATGTGCAAAGGATGTGAAGATACTCATGTCCTGTGTAAATGTTCACTAAATATAACTTCAGGTGAGGAGGAGTTCAATAATCAAGTAGATAGGATGACCTGTTCTGTGGACCGTCAGCCTCTTTTCCCAAGCATTCCTGTAGCTGCCCAATGGGCCCATGAACAAAGTGGTCTTGGTGGCAGTGATGGGGGTTATGGATGGGATCAACATGGACTTCCATTCTCCAAGGCTGACCTGACTATAGCTGCTGCTGTGTGCCAGATATACCAACAGCAGAGACCAACACTGAGCCATGGATATGGCATTATTCCCTGGGGTGACTAGCTAGCAATCTGGTGGCGGGTTGACTACCCTCCTTGGAAGTGACAATGCTTTGTTCTTACTGGGGCAGATACTTATTCTGGTTATGGATTTGCCTTTCTTTTACATAATGCTTCTGCCACACCCATCATTCATGGACTTACAGAATGTCTTATACACAAACATGGTATTCTACACAGAATTACTTCTGACCAGGGAACTCACTTCACAGCCAGAGAAATATGACCGTAAGCCCACAATCATAAAATTCACTGAACTTACCATGTTGCCCTTCATCCTCAGGGAGCTGGCCTGATAGAAAACTGGAATGGCCCTTTTTAGATGAAGCTACGGTGCCAATTAGGTGACAGCAGCATACACAGCTGGGGCAGGGTTCTCCAGAAAGCAGTGCATGCTTTGAATGAATGTTCAAAATAATGCACTGTTTCTCCAATAGCCACGATCCACTGGTCCAAGAATCAAGGGTGAAAAGGGAAATAGTTCCACTCAGTATTACTTCTAGTAACCAACTCGTAAAGTTTTTGCTTCCTGTTTCCACAACTCTAAGTTCTGCTGGCCTAGAAGCTTTGGTTCTAGAGGGTGGAATGCTCCTGCTAGGAACCACAACAAACCTTCCATTGAACTGGAAACTCAGACATCCTTCTGGTCACTTTAGGCTTGTAGTGCCATTAAATAAAAAGGTTAAGAAAGGATAAGAGTGTGAGGAAGGGTGATAGATCCAGATTACCATGGGGAGTTAGATTGTCTTCCCACAATGGAGGGAAGAAGGATTATATCTGGAGGGCAGGAGGTCCTTTAGGTGTCTCTTGGTGCTACTGTGCCCTGTGATTAAACTTAATGAGAACCTACAACATCCTGATCCAGGCAGGCTGACAAATGGCACAGACTCATCAGCAATGAAGCATGGCTCACTTCACCAGGGAAAGAGCCAAGACCTGCTGATATGCTTGTAGAAGTTATAGGAAATACAGAATGGGTAGTAGAGAAAGACAGTTTTTTGTTTTGTTTTGTTTGAGACAGGGTTTCTTTTTTATTTATTTTTCTCCTCAATATATGTTTTCATTCAAATTAGAAACATGCATGCTTCACGTGTCAATCCCAGCTCCTTCTCCCACACTTCCACACTTGTCCCTCCACCAGTCCCCCCCAACCCCCCACCCAATCCCAACTTCATTCCCCAGGGAGGTTGAGGCCCTCCTTGAAGGCATCTCCAGAGTTGAGACCGACTTTCTTGGTATAACAGCCCTAGTTGTCCTGAAACTAGCTTTGTAGACCAGGCTAGCTTCAAACTCACAGAGATCTGCCTGACTTTGCCTTCTGAGCACGGGTATTTAAGACATGTGCCACCACTGCCCGGCTTTTTGGGGGGGGCGAGGGATAGTTCTGAATAGCATTTAAGTCCACATGACCAGTTGCAAAAATGAGGATTATAACCAACATTGGTGTGTTTTTGTTGTATTTTGCTAAGAATATATATGTACAGATATAAGTTTTTTCTTCCAATTTCCTTATCATATGTTGTAACATCAACGGTTATAATATGTAAGTTTGAAATACTAGAATGTTGTTCCCCAAGGGACACTCCCACTTATTCTAAATTTGTAATGCATTTACAGTTGTACAAGGGAAAGTTATATCATGTTAGGCATAATTATGACCTGGTTGAATAAATAATGAGTTTGTGATTATAGGTGGGGTAGTTATATTATTATTATTAGGCATTATTATGACTTAGTTATTGTTTTCATTTGGAAATTACTCATGACATAAGGAGATACGCATGTCCAACAAGCTGACAAGAGGTGGATTATGATGTCTATTCTTGCTTGTCAAGTTGACTGACAATATTTGCAATAAACTAGAATCCAGAAGTGGAATTCACACTTGTGATCCAGATCATGATGCTGGAAGACAGACACCTTTCATCCAGGTCTTGAGGAAGGGTGACACATGCCTTTAATCCAGATCTTGAGACTGGAGGGCACACCATTAATCTGGGCCATACCTTCTGCTGGAAGCCTATATAAGAACAATGGAAGAAGGAAGGGTCCTTCATTATTTCTTAACCTGCTTGTCTTACCTTGTCAGCACATTCATTGCTTTACTGGCATTGAAGCTTACTTCTTTGGCATTGCAGCATACGCAGAAGACCAACTAGGACACTCAACCTCATGAGACTGAATGACTACTAGATTCTTGGACTTTCCATTCACAGCTAGCCATTGATGGTATGCAGCTTGTAAGTCATTCCAAGAAATTACACACACACACACACACACACACACACACACACACACACTCCATAATTTCTGTGGCTCTAGAGAACCCTGACATCCTCCATGCTCACTTCCTCCCAAAGTAGGGTCTGATAGGCATTAGTGTGAACAATTAGGGTACCTTTTCCTGAGAAGGGCTATATTCCTTACAAAGTTATGCCAATATTTCTCATTAACCAGGAGTCCCTGAGCAGATGTGTTTAAATATGATATTGCGTCGCATCTTCTTCTTCTTTATCTTCAGAATATTGAGTATTCTCCAAAGAATTTGACCTCAGTCTACCAGATGCATTAAATCCATATCATGCTAGTAGCAATGTGATAAAAAGAAGTGTTCACACAGACTATGAAAATCCCAGAACCAGGCCTTACCTGTCGTGTCTAAGGAGCCCAGATCTGTGCTGGCATTCCTCCCTCAATCCACCTCACATTTGCTCTTATATAGCTGTCAGGAACTGTGGTTAGTATATTGATGTCAGTCACATGCTGGCAGATTGTGGTGCAGAAAATTCTGTGGAAATGTCAGGAGTCAAGATGAGGTACAAATGTTGAATGGGCCCCAATTGCATAAACCAAGTAGAATAGAAGGGACCCCAATTCATGCCATTGTACATATCCCATTGAGGGTCCTGGGACCAGAGGCCTTGCCAACTCTCAGTACCTTGAGTACTTTTCTTTCTCTCATGTTTCTGCCAGTTCCTAGAGGGAAGGCCAACTAGAAAGAAAGCTGACCAGTGAATCTCTGGGATATATCCCACCAAGAAAATCTGTAAGTTGGTTTTTCTTTTCAGAGCCACGGGGCTGAGAATTTTAGATGAGACCATTTACTATTTCTTTCCTTTTCAGGCTCATCACCCATACAACTGCTCATACTTCTACCCACGCCCTCCAGTAAGAATCATCATGCATCCTTATCAAAAGTATGTATGTCTCCGGCTGGAGGGTGACTTCAAGGATCCAAATGAAATGGAGGACTTGATGTTTGTATTGGTTCCTATACCCAAAGAAGAGGAGGAGGAGGAGGATACAGAGGAAGAGGAAGAAGAAAAGGAAGGAGATGAAGGAGAAGAGGAGGGAGAGGAAGAAGAGGGAGAAGAGGAAGAAAATGAAGAGGCAGAGGAAGAAGATAATGAGGAACAGAATGAAAGGGAGGAAGATGAAATGGAAGAGTGGGAAGAATGTGAAGAAGAGGAGGAGGAGGAAGAGAAAAATGAAGAAGAAAGCAAACAGAAAACAAGAGACTATTACCACACACCTTCCACACCTTTTTCTTATTTAAATGTCTCCTTACCTACTTTGGATTCTACCTTTTCCTCATTCTCGAGGTCTTTCATTTTTCAGGGCACTGAGGAAGAAAGTTGTGCCTCAGGAATAATGACTCCTCATAAAAGCCAGAACTCTATCACAGCCACATTTCAAAGAAGTTTAGATGAAGAAATCAACCCCATGGAAGAAGAGGAGTGTTCAAGTATTATCCAGTATTTGAAAGACACACAATCTTGGTTGAGTAGCCAGCTAAAGGAAAAGATGACTGATTTGGTGTATGCTATGATCTTCAAGTATCAAGTGAAGGAACCTATCACAAAAGTAGAAATGTTAGAGATTGTCAGCAAAGATTACAAGAAACAATTCCACATCATCTTTATGGATGCTTCTAAGTGCCTATACATGCTTTTTGGCATTGATGTAAAGGAAGACTGTGCCATGAGAAACTCCTATACCCTTGTCAATTCACTGAACCTCACCTATGAAGAAAAGCTGAGTGGAGAGAGAAGAATGCCTAGAAATGGCTTCCTGATAGTTATTCTGGGCTTGATATTCATACAAGGGAACTGTGCTTCTGAAGAAAGTGTCTGGGAATTCCTGAATACAATGGGAGTATATGATGGGGATGAGCACCCCATCTATGGAGAGCCCAGAACATTTCTGACCAGAGATTTGGTACAACAAAATTATTTGTCATATCAGCAAGTGCCTAACAGTTGTCCTCCATCCTTTGAGTTCTTGTGGGGTCCAAGAGCCTATGCTGAAACAACCAAGATGAAAGTTCTGGAATTTTTGGCAAGGATAAATGAGCGTGAACCACTTTCTTTTTTGTTTTTGTATGAAGAGGCTTTAAGAGACGAGGAAGAGAGGGCCTGTGCCCAAAGTATCTCTCCAAATAGAAGTCCAGTCACATTGATGGCAGAGAATGCATTTCCAGCTTGTACCCTGAATGACAGATTTGTTTTCTAATGTATTCACTCTGGGTTACAGAAGAGAAGTCAAAATTCTAAGCAATGGAAGGTAAAAGTTAGCTTGAGTAGAAAACAGTGGAGCACAACATTGTTAATATGCTATTTGGGGTTATTATTTTTCATTTGGGATAGACTATCAAATGTTATTTCTTATAGTAAAAGATTTACTAGCTTTGCAATCTAAGTTATGGATGACCTTGTTTCACACATTTCTTGCTATTTATTTTGTTTTTAGAAAATACAGAGAAAAACTATGTGCTGTTTTATTTTTAGATTGATGTACACTTCTATTCTGTAAAATTAAATGCTGTGTTTCCATGTTTGTTTGGCTTGCTAAAAAACAAAACAGGAAAATACCAGTAAATTATAGCAAAGCTCATTGATTCATTTATTTACCAAATATTAGTTTAGCATTTTATCTTTGGAAGATACTATTATATTGGCACAGGAAATGTGGATCATTTAGACACTCCCCTGCTCAGAAAATTATAGAATCTAGGGAGAGCTATTGTATGAAGAACAAGGTGAAATGTCTTCCGGTACATATGATACCAAGGAAAAACATAAGAAAAAATGAAAACAAAAGAGGGATACCCATGAAGAGCAAAAGCCTGGAATTGGTTCAACTTGATTGGGGACTTGGGAAACTCTAACTCCCTTGGGGCTAATTTTATATTAAGTTATGCAAAGTTTCAGGGACCATACACACAATGATTCTGGTAGGAGACAGAAAACTCTTGAAAGAAATTGCTCTGAGCAGTTCTCTTGGAATTTGGGCTAAACAAGAGAGGGTTCTCTATCTGGTCCCTGTGTGGAGTGTGCTCTGTTATCCTATTCTTACTCAGCTAGACTCAATGTTTGCACTAAGTGTTATACGCACAAATGCTGAAAGCATTTTCTGAAGATAAATTTGGGAATCTCTTGGGTTACTGTCCAGATACCATCAGGCTGCCATTCTTTCTCCTCGTCTGTAAAACACAGAACCCATTAAATTATTATTGCATCTTGATTGTTATTTGCCTAAATCTAATCCAGGTCTAGGATTTGGTGGTAGTAGATTTAACTTAAAAACATATTCACAAATTGAGCAGCTAGAAGGGAGGAAAACGTTGGTCTTTGAGGAAATTCTAAGAACTCTGAGTCATTTTAGCCTAGAAGTTAAGCTTCAACTCTAAAATAATATATCATCTAAGAGGGAAAATATCATGAATTTTATTTGGAACACTGAATTTTTGGTTGCGTTTTTCTCCTTTTATTTAAATTAAAAACAATCTTATTTTACATAACAATCTCAGTTACCTCTCCCTCTTGTCCTACCATACCCCCCACCAATCCCTCATCCTGCTCCCCATCAATTCCCCAGGGAGGCTGAGGCCTCCTATGGGGGATCATCAACGTCTGTTACATCATTTGGGGCAGCGCCTAGGTTCTCACCCATGTATCTAGACTGCAAGAGTATCCCTCTTTAGGGAATGGGCTCCCAAATATCATACACTAGGGATAAATACTGGTTCCACTGCCAGTGGCCCCATACACTGCCCTGGCCTCCCAACTGGCACCCATGTTCAGGGGGCCTGGTTCAGTTCTATAGTGGTTCCCGAGCTGTCAGACTGGGGACTGTGTGTTCCCACTTGCTCAGGTCAGCTGTTTCTGTGGGTTTTCCCAGCATTGTCTTGTCCCCTTTGCTCAACACTCATTCCTCTTTACAACTGGATCCCAGGAGTTTGGTTAAGTGCTTGGCTGTGAATCTCTGCTTCTGTTTCCATCAGCTACTGGGTGAAGGCTCTAGGATGGCATTTAAGGTTTTCTTTATATTCTTAACCATGTTGAGCTGCCTCTTTTCTGAGTTGTTATAGACAACATTATCAAAACCCAAGGTAGAGGATGGCAGAGTCCGTGATCTAATATTATTCACCTTACCATTCATTAAACTACCAATATATTTGGGCAGTGTACCATATATTTTATTCAGAGTCAATGAATTTTAACTGTGCTGCCACTCTCTCAGACCTGATCCTGAGAGGAGCAATCTAAGGTTCCTAGTGCTTTAGAATTTCCCCCAAGGTCATGTAGCTGGTACATGCCAGCACTCAACAAGGGTTTATCTAGAGTACACGTTGTTCCAGTTCTGCTCAGCCGGAGGCACCATCAGTTTCTTAATTCATTTGCTACCATTCCAAAATGTCTCAGCTGAAAGAAAAGAACACTGTGTCTACATACTGGAAGCAGAGCAATGATAGATGAAAATAAAACACAATGTTAGATTAACATTCATTGTATGAGAATTGACTTTCTCTGTCCCTTAGGAAACTTCATTGCTGACTTTCCCTAGATGCTGGAAGTTCATTACTATTACCTCATTTTCTTGAATCAAAGCAACCTTCCTCTGGTATTTTCCATTGTTTACTACTCCCTAAAGCAAGAATCTAATGTCTTGACCAAATCAATACTGCATCCTTTTCTCCAAGCTATGTCTCTCTTCTAGTGACATTATTTGTTGTATCAGTCTTTGTCTTTCTCTTGACACAGAACATTCCATTTCCATGTACAAGTTCGCAAACTATGCTGTCTTTAATTCTGGATTCCCTCTGCTTTTGTTTTACAATTTTTTCCCTTCAAAAATTCACTGGAAAACTTAATGGAAGGCAAGGTTGTTATGAGGGGCCCCTGCTCATAGCTAGATTAACACTATTATAAAAGGTATAACACAGGAAATTTTTGTTCTTTTGTCCTTTGTGGAATTGTGGGAACCCATGTTTGTGGGGCTGCAGCAGGAACCATAATGTGGTTGCCCACTGTAGTAGACCCATGTTGCAGTGTCATATGTGGGAAACTGGTTTTGTGCCCACACAGTCACAATCAGCTGAATTCCTCTCAGGTACGAACCGGAGGCAAGTTGGCTGGTTCTGACTGTGTGCCCACAATTGGAATGTAAGCAAACACCATTCATTCTCCCTTGAGAATGACTCTATAGCTTTGGGGCTTAGAAGTAGAGAACAGCTCACACATGACACCCATCCTGCCAGCTTCTTAGTCTTGGACTAAAATAATTTTCTTACTGTCTTAAGCAAAATAACAATAACTCCCTCTATAGAGAGCATGTCCTGCTGCCATGACTTAAGATACTGAAACACTGAGAAAACATTTTCACTTTACAGGGAGAATCAAGGATTTGGTAAGTTTTTTAGGATATAGGGAGTAGAACCAAAGGAAAGTAAGTTTACAGAAACCATGAAAAGACTAGGTGGGAATGCAATTGGTAGAGCTGTATGGCATCTGCTCTTCAGCCCTGAATACCAAATTCAATATAGGGTAGGAAAGGATTCAAATGGAGATTTTAAAAGTGGAGAATGTAGGTAAGAATGGTGCTGGGAATGAAAACTGAGTCATTACCACCAGTCAGACATTTCAGTGTGGTGTAATCAGCTCTAATAATGGATTGGGGGCAGTGAGCCACCCCTATGTTCATTCGTAAAGACATAAAACATCTCCTGCATCCATTTGATTGATCCATTTCTTTTGCCCGTGCTAGTGGTCCAGTGTACATTGCCCTCTGTCTCAGGCCTAGAATGTCCTTGAAACCTACTGAAGGGTGTTTCTTTTCGTTCATTGATGGAATTCCTCCACAGATGGGAATTCTGTTACTGTCTAAGACAAATATCAGATTATTTTAGTTGAGACAGGGGCAATGAAGTTAGTATGAAGCCAAGTAAGGTTAAACAGAAGTAGGAATTTCTTGGGGCTTGGTATCAAAATGATATTGCACATAAAGGAAGTAATGAACATTTATAAAACAAAAATATAGATTCATATGGATGTGCCCAACTCAAATATTTCTTTTGGATTTTAAGGTATCAGCATGCTAAGGAGTGGATGCCACAATGCTGTAACAACTGGCCTCCATTTATACTAGATTCTATCTGGTGTATGTGTTAGTCCCAGGATGCAAAATTTTGCAAGAATATGAAGATGGTGTACTTCTCGCTGAAACTAATGGGGATTGATGGATTCAAAACTGAAGCATGATACATCATGTGATTGAGAACACTATTGCCATGAACATGATACTTGAGCCTAAAAACAAGATGTCTATGTTAATGTTAGCCTTGGTATTTCCCATGGGAATTCTGAATTTGCCTGAGCAATTTCATTCATTAGAATTCTTCCATGTAGACAGATAATCCAGGCAAAGTACATGTTCATATTTCAGGTCTCTGAATGTAACTATCCAATGTTTTGGTTTAATTATTCACAATTTTGTTTCCTTGTTTCTCCATCAAATATTTGCTGAACATATGATACAATAAGAACATCAAATAAGCAAAGCAGGACTATATTATAAGGCATTTAATTTGGATAATATGTGAAAGAGCACAGCCGGAGAAAGGATCTTGGAAACTTTAGGAAAGCTTTATGAAATGGTACAGTACATACATGGTCTGAGTTTTGAAAGTTGCTGCTAAGATGCAATATTATCCTAGTTTGCATGATATTACTGTTTATAGTCTATGACCAAAAGCAACTTGGGGATGAAAGAGTTTACTTTGCTTACACTTCCATATCTTAGTCCATTGAGTAAGAAAGTTAGGTCAAGAACTCAAGGAGGGAACCTGGAAGCAGAATTTGCAGCACAGGCCAAGAAGGAACAATGCTACTGACTTGCTCCCATGACTTCATCAGTTTGCATTTTCATATACCCAAGACTACCAGTACAGCCCTCAACAGTCTAGACTTGCTACATCCATTATTTATTTTAAAATTGGTCCATAGATTGCCTCAGACTGATATCATGGGAGTATTTTCTCAGTTGAGTTTCTGTATTCCCAAATAATGCCACCAATTCAGAGGACCCCAAACTGTGCCACTATTTCCTTTTTTTAGCCTGCTTTTTTATTCGTCAATGTATATTTTTATTTAAATTATAAACATGTATGCTTCACATGTCAATCCCAGCTCCCTCTCCCACCCCTCCTCTCTTGTCCCTCCACCAGTCCCCCT